TAAAAAAACAGAAACGACTACAACTACTGCGACAGCAAAATCAATTAGACAAATTTTTATTAAATCAAAATTTGTGTTTCGTATAAAATAATATTAATTTTAAAAAATTAAGAGATTATGGCATTCAACATTTTTAGCATAAAACTGCAATTATGTAAAGTAATATTTTGAAGGAAAATTAAATTATAATAATTCACTGAAATTTATTAATAGTCAAACTTTTGAAAAAAAGAATTTTAAATGATTTTGGCTTTAAAATTTCTAATCGAATTTACAAACCATAAAAATTTTACTTAATTAATCATAAAAAATTTATTCGAAATTTAAAAAAAGTTGCAAAAATAAGATTTCTATCAGATAGAACATTGGAAAAAATTGAATAGAAATATAAAATACATAAGTAATAGAGCGTTTTGCTTATATTTTTTGCAATACAGGTCTGTTTCTTTGAGCAATGACAATAGAGCAATAAAATGGCTCAGCGGGTAATTCGGAGCGCCGATGCTGGGGTTTTAGTAAATTTGTCCAAAAACCCGGGCGGTTCTGGCGACTTACCTCGACTTCTATTGTTAAGGAACCTTCCGGCGCGCTTTTCTAGCTTAATAAGCTAGAAGAGCGACTCCAACCGGGAATGGCGAAGTCTTTTAAAAAAAAAATCATTTAGCAACTGTACAAGATAGAATTTTATAGTTCCACAAATATTTTATTAAGATAGGTTATTTTTTTTACGCATTCTAATGGGAGTTTATTAAAATTGCTGAAAATATGTGCTCATGCACGCTGATGGCCATATTCTCGTTTCCAAATTTTTCGCATGTTCACATCGTCCTTCCTTATTTTTCTATTAATTTTCTGCTTTAATGCCTACGTAATTTATTCTGCGCATTAAGTGTTTTGTGAAGTTTTCCAACTTAACAAACCATAAAGTTTTTAATGGATAAAGCCTTGGCATTGTAACCAACTCACAACTAAGAAACAACTAATATAGTTCAGCTAACAAAACTGTTTATTGCTGAGAACAAAAAATTTTATCATATTTCAGAAAATATATTAGAAACAATGTGAAGTATTTAAAATATTTTGAGCAAAACAATATTTTATAAACA